ATTTTTAAAATAAGCCATGTTTGTTTTTCTGTCTGAGGATAGCGCTTGGTGTGCATAAGGATCTATCATCTCAAGAGGCTCTGGCCCAAATTTGGGAACCTCTGAGTTAGATCTCCCAGGCTGGGGTCAAGAATTCAAATGTCCATGGGGATAGGTACACAGCATTAAGTGAGCCATGTAGGCAGGACATAAGAAATGTGGCTGCTTCGATTTCTTTCTTGAAACATGAAACCCTCTGCCATTCTCTTTGGCTTTCCCAAATTTGATAGAGATGGAAGTAGAGAGAAATGGGTCTCTACAGTGAAAGTCTGCAGCACCAGCACAATGATAAATGGCACCTGGTGTGGACCCTCGACATCAGGAGTACCAGAGAACGGTGGGGACTGCACCAAACCTGAAACATATGTCTTGTCTAAAGGGGGTAGCTGTTGCTTTAGTTCCAGCTGATTGTTGCCAGATCAACTAATGTCTCAAAAGACGCTGAGTGTGCAGGATTTCATATAAAAAATACTTATGGGCTGGCTCCATTTTTGTTTTTTAAATTGATGAAAGCCCAGCCTCGATTTAATAGATCCAGTCACACAAATGTCACTAATGTGTAAGGCAGCTCACTCCGTCTTTTCAAAAGCTACACTGGCAGAAAAATTTTTACTCAAGTTGAATCCATATACAATTCCTGGTAACTTTCAGACATTGCCCGAAGTCTGCTCGAGAGCTACAGCATGAGTCTAATCACTTCTCCCCAGGAGTGGCCTAAAAATCAGAGGCTGGTGAATGAGCATGTTACCACCCTATGTGCTTATTTCTAGGTCACACATACTCTGTTATTCTAACAGTTCCTCAAATATCCTAGCGTTCTCCTCTGGATCAATTCCAGACCAGAGATATTCCTCTTAAAATGTGACACCAGAACCCTGCAAAACACTCTAGGCATGGTCTCACTGGTACAAAGGCACTTCCTCTCTTTTTCTGATTAAAGTCTAATAGGATATCCCCCTGTATAATAGGTCCATTGCCACCTCGTAGTGAGACAGTCACAGACCCTGCAACCAGACTGCCTGGGTTCCAAAACATGTTCTTCCACTTTTTAGCCGTAAACCCTTTGGCCAGCTGCTTAATTGCTCTGTGCCTCAGTTTCTTCATTTGCAGAATGGGGACATTAATTGCACCTACCTCGGGGAGTTGCCCTGAGAAATAAACGGGTCGATCTGTGCGAAGTGCTTAGAACAGTGTCTGGCACATAGTGCTATGAAAGTGGTACTAGTTAACGTTGTAACTGTTCCCATCATCCACATGATCTGTGCGTATGCCATCAGCGCAGTCACCATGGTCACTAGTAAAAATGCCAGGCCATGGAAGTGGCTGAGTCCTGCCAGGACGCCCACTACGTCTAGGCCGCCCGTGATTCAGCAACCAGCACAAAGCTGTCTGACCCTCTTATTAACTCTGGGTTCCTGTCCTTGAGGGTAGCCATCACCTGCTGGGCACCGCGCTAAGCCTGGAGAACATGCATATACATAAAACGTGGTCTTCGGCCTCTGCAGTGTCACAATCTAGCAGAGATAATCTCTGGGATACAGATATGCACAAAAACCACACGAGGGTACCCAGCTTCCTTCCACAATCTCCCATTTAATTTCTCTAAATACTCTAAAATGAGAGGAAACCAGAGAAACACTGGCCACACACGTTTATAAGGCTGTTGTTACTCAGGAGGAACTTCATCTTTCATACACACCCTCCAGGTCTGTCATGGCTCTTGACTTGCACCTCCCTTTTTCTTTTTTTTTTTCTTTTTTTTTTTTTTTTCAGGAGTTATTTGTTAGTTTTGCAGATTTGGTGGTATTTCATTTGCAAGCAAAAGGACTCACTTGCATTCCAGTCGCTGCTCCACAGGAGTTTTTAAAATCCATTTGGATGGAGTCTTTGATCTTATTACTTGATCACTCATATAGTAACTTTAAAATTACAGTCAACCTTGAAATGTGTTTATAGAATCAATTTAGATATCCCTGTATATCCCATTCCTGAGTGTGTCCGACTGGTAGGGAGGACTGCAAACTCAGTAGCAGACCAACCCTCTGCTTTGCACGTTCCCTCAGACGTGCAAAAGGGACTCCGTTTCCTTTTAAATGCCGTTAACAATCTCTTTGGTTTTTATTGGTCACAAAGGTTATGTTTGCCTTCCCAGTGATCTCATTCTTGTCTAGTAGTGCCACAATAAATGCGAACAGGCATCAAAGAGGTGAAATCTCTCAACCCACGAGCATGTACTTGACCTACATAAAAATTTCCTGGGTCCTGTTTTCTCCCTGGTTTGTACCTTTTCAGAAGGAAATACTAGGGTTGGGTTGCTTGTTTTTTTGTTTTTTTGAACTATCAACCAAAACATTTCCTTCTGTCCAGATAACCAAGGAACTGATTCTATAAAGTTGCTTAATGTGGTCCATCTCTTCATAAACAGATACATTGCTAGAAGATTATCTTGCCAGCCATTTGATAATCTCTGGATCCTGAATTGTCCAAGAAAACTCAGAAATACACTAAAGTAGGTATCAGGAACGAGGCCAGATCTTGTTCGATCATGAAGTTCCCAAATTTGTCACCCTATGAGTCCCTATTTTTCCTTCAAAGAACACAGAATTGGAAAGCCTTTACCTACCAATTGCCATTTACAAGGACAAGTTCTGTTGCCTTGTTTTTAATCAAGCACATATCGTTAGAGCTTTTGAGCCACGTGAGAAGGCTAATAGTGCCGGAGTTGATATCCTTCCATCCACAAGCTCAGAAAGAAACAAAGACTTAGACGGTAGAGCCTTACCATGTGTCACTACTCCTACATACTGAAAATCGTTCAGAGAGCCATGATCCTACCTTCAGGGAGTCCTAGTAGTGAACCACTGCCACAAAAGGGTTACCTTCACAGCCTCTCAAAACCTTTTCAAGTTACAGAGTTCATCTGTTGCCTCACAAGTGAAACAGGTCCATTTTCTTGGGCACTGAGGTGTTCCCCAGCCTGGCTTTCCTGCTGGAAAATGCCAGTTTTGTAAAAAGCGTCATGCTTCGTGTCCTTTGGCTTATGATTTAACTGTTCAGGGAAAGTGCTGTCTGTCCCTGCTTGCTCAGTGCTGGGGATACGTGTTTTTGTTTTATTAAATCTTTAAAATACTGAGCTTGTTGTTTATGACCCCCATATATTCTTTTGTTCTTTTCCATGACTGGTTAGATCCCCTTTTTTTTCCCTCCCTTTGTAAAAATATTAGTGCCTTTCTAAAGAACATCGTAGTCTCCTGAATGGCTGCGTAACACAACAGAGGAATGTCTTGAGCTTAATGTTAGGTTTGTCGAGGCTGTGACTCAGGGCTGCTTCACGGACAGGAAACTTCCAGGCTTCTCAGACACAGTCCTCAGAATTGCAGATCTTCCTGCCCTTGCCATACTTGTTTTGGCAAATCGGACATCATCTGATACTAATCAGAGTTGTCTGTAAAACAGAGGTACCGAATGGTCTATGTCCCAATTGCAGACAATTGTTAGTACAAGTTACTAAGAAACTCTCTATGAAATGGAAGCAAGGTCTCACCAGGCTCATCTGCAGGCAGCCCCAAATGCAGGGAAATCTCGAGCCTAGTGCTCCAAGGCCACTTCACTGTACGCAGCTCCTGGGTCCCCCCCAGAGCCTCTCATCAGTAGAAGAGTTGCCATCTCATGATTCTGTCCAAAAGTTTGAATTAGCCTTGCATACAACTCGGCTACCCTACGGATGTGAATCCCCAAATAAACCATTCCGTGACATCCAACTGAACTTGTTCCCGTGCATACAGTATCTTGCAGCCCATCCTGTACTATTAGTTTTGGCAAGTACACTACAGCATATAATAAATCATGGAAGGAAAAAGCTTTTTGGCCTAACGTGGTTCAGCCTGCTGTAATGTCAGAATACAGAAAGCAGTTCTGTTTTTAGACATCCTTTTACTAACCCAACATTCATAATTTATGATTTCACTGCAAAATTCCTGCAACATGACACCCAAAGTAGTGCTGCCCTTTAATTAAGTACTCTCAGTAGGAAAAACGTGAAACTGATGTGCAAAACATCTCTGTGTGCATGGTGATTGATAGTGATTACATCTTTATGAACCCAGCCTAGAGGTCTCAACTTCCTGATGGGTGAAGTCGTCTATAGGGCTACTTCCTGAGTCTGCTGCTAACCAATTTGGAGATAATTTGGAGGCACAATTGAGAAAGATGGAGGTTTTAAGCCAGCATCTATCTATACGTCTTTACAAGTCCACATGACCTTATCCATCATCTTCATGATAAGAACCTACAACTAAATTTCACAGTTGGAGAGGTTGTATGCACAGATGAAGGGTCGGGGATAAGGTCTTTCTGAGGAATCCCCGTTGCCATGTGGGTTTATTTGTTTGTTCGCTTTTAAAGAGTTGAAAGAATGGATGACAGAAGGGACCTCTGGCCCTGTTAGTGTGCGCATGGAACATGCTAGCCAGAAGAGGGCCTTGAGCTGTTCTGCTTTTTACGCCTGTTCTGCTTTTTACATTATTCTTCATTTTTTGTTTGTTTGTTTTTCCCCCTTAATTGAAACTAGAGAAGGAAGTAAGATAGGGTTAGGAGATAAAATCCCAAGTCTGGTGCTCCCCGGCTCATCAGTGGGGAGACTGTGGTGTTCTCTTTCATCACTTAGGTACTCCACACGAGCCTGAGTTCAGAACACCTTACTGAAAGGTAATTAGGGTCACGCATGCATTTGCGATACTTCAGGTTCCTTGAAAGGTCATAAATCTGTCCAAGACTGTAGCAGTACTTCTATTAAATAAGCTCATTGCTGCAAGTTCAGCCCTCTGTCCCAATTGTAGCAACCAAAACAAAAGCTCTGTGCAATAATGTGACTTAATCATCTTAGCAATGCTTCAGAGATGACATTTCTCTAGAATGACGTTGATACGATGCACATATGTTGCCTTCTCGTGTTTTTGCAGATTTGGGCCAGGCTTAGTCATCTATTGGTACGGCTTCATCCAGGAGCTGGACTGTAACCGGGAGAGGGGCATCCTGCTCAAAGCCTGTTTCCCCACGGACATTGTCACCTTATGCCACAGCGTCGCCTGACCCTGATGATCCTGGAAGAGAAGCTGGGAGGAAAAGGTGAATCCGGAAGCAATTTGACTTTCCTGCCGTGTAAACTCCTGGCAGCATCTGCCCTGAACTTGAGCTGAACTCTTGCTGCCCGTGGCCACGCCACTACCTCTTTAGACAAACATATCAGGAGTTTCTGTTTTCCTTCATCCCTTGCTGGTGTGAACAGCCAAGAACTACAGACACAACCCACTCATTATCAGCATTTCTGTCTCTGTCAAACAGTTAGTTTACAGATAGTCATAATCTCTCTTCCTTCCGGATTGTTTCTCCTTGTATACTGAACAAAAGAAGAAATGTGGGGACTGAAAGGTGTGATTTTTCAATTCTCCTCCCAGTTCCCGAATCATCCTCTTATTTATTTTTTTTTCCCTAAGCCTCCATTCATTCTCCCTCCCTCCCTCCCTCCCCCTGTTCTCATCCTATCCACTCACAGGGACCCAGGGTTGCATCCCCATCCCGGAATAATCTAGCACAGTCCTAGCAGAGTGGAGGGTGTGGAGGCTGAAACGCTTTTTGCTCTCACCTGCAAGGCTTCGGTAGACCTCGATGGTAGCCCGTGCTAGTTTTGTCCAGTCTTTATGGTTTCCTGACTTCGCTGGCATTAATCCAAGCTGAAAAATATACTTGATGAGAATTTCCTCTTTTTATAATACTTATTTGAACACCAAAGACCTTCCCTTTATCTCATGTAAAAAAGTATTGGTTACATTGTTTCTGGAAACCACACTCCTCCTTTGGACTGGGGGCTCAGGGGAGACCATTGAAGCGTGGTGCCAGTCTGGGCAAAAGCTTATTTTTAAACACAGCTACTTGTCAGTATGTATGGGTAGTCAGTATTTTTATGAGTATAATTTTTTAAAAGCACATTCTGTGCACTGCTTTGTATCTGCATTTTCTACTACGTAATTACATAACACTCAAATAACTTAGGCATTAGCAGCGTTCAGCTTTGAATGAATTAAGTATACCAGAAATAAACCTGGAGTGATTTTTTTTTCAAATAAGCAAAATAAAAAGGATTTTGTATTTGTTCACTTTAATTTATTCACTTTTTATACTGCAAACCAAACTTCAGCCTAAAGGAAAACATCAATAAATTCATTATAAACCTGTCTTTTGGTAGGCCAAAGACGTATCTATCCCCCCAAATGTATTTATAAAATGTTTGCCCCCATGTTGAAAATACATAGTATCGGGGCACCTGGGTGGCTCAGTCCTTAAGCGTCTGCCTTCGGCTCAGGTCATGACCCCAGGGTCCTGGGATCGAGCCCTGCACTGGGCTCCCTGCTCCACAGGAGGCCTGCTTCTCCCTCTCCCACTCCCCCTGCTTGTGTTCCCTCTCTTGCTGTCTCTTTCTTTCTGTCAAATAAATAAATAAAAAATCTTAAAAAAGAATACATAGTATCTTCTATAATGTCCAAGATGAGTTTGGAAGTATTAACAAAAAGAACTTCTGCAGACACCTTTCAGTTACACACACTGCTTGCTGCTTTCGAAAGATTAAAGCTGCCCTTTGTACCTTGTTTGTTTTGTACCTAAAGGAGGTTTGCAAAGGTCAGCCAGCTGCCTTTCCTTTTGAAGGACACAAGCACGTCAGGTCCAGACGCGTGGATTTTAACTCCGTCGTGCGTCGCACTGAACAGAAAAGGAGGAAGGAGAGATGGGAAGGAGGTCTCTGGCAGGCGCCTGTTTCAGTTTGAGTATCAGGCAGGTTTTGTGAGTGCAAGGCAGTGGTCTGAAACCACTGCTGGTACAGGCACACACATGCCCACATTTGAACCAAAACTGTTGTTAAACGGTTTTCATGGCATGCCCTAAGCTGCTTTTTCTTCTTTAGCGGAATAAATTACATTTATCTGCACAGATGCTGAAAACGCTGTGAAACCCTTGTCAAGGATATGTTTGTTTTACATTAAACAAATTTATGATGGGGGGGCACAAATAAATGAAAAAATAAAAGAGGTGCTCGTATTTCGTATTCCTCCTTCTCCCCGGTGCCCTGACCTAATGTGCTATGAGAAGATGTTGGTGCTCTCTGCAGAGGCACCAGCTCCTCTCTATGAAGGAGGGGTTCACATTTGGCCCTAAAAAGTGGGAAAGAAACCAGTAAACTGTACATAGTTTGAATAACTTGTAACTATATCATAAGATTTTGCCCACATAAAACTAATGCGATTATTAGTACTATTGCTCAATTAGAAGAGTGTAGGGGGACAGGAGTCGTGTTCCCAAATGGGAAGCTTAAAATCTCCTTGTTCTTTTCCCTTTATGGTAGAAATACTTACCTCTGTTCTATTGATAGGTGTGGTTTACTCGTTTGTTGGTTTTTTTTTTTTTTTTTTTTAGTTTTTGACAATAAAAATGGCCCTGGAAAGTGAGACATGACAATGTGGTTTTTTGTTTGTTTCTTTGTTTTCGTTTTATTGCTGTCGTCATTAGAACATTAACATTTAAGCCAGATTTTGTTTTATGGAGCATTCTGCAAACTGCTCTGATGAATTATGCCAACCCAGAAAGCAGGAGTGTGTGTATGACGTAAAACTAAATGATGTTCTCTCTGGCATATACGGACTTGCCAAGCATCTGCAGTCACAAAGACCCCATCTGAAGCGTGGCATGGGGTCCACTGAGGGCAAAGCTGATCCAGCACGGATATTTAAGGTGACTTCATAGACTCCTTTCCACCCTCATCCCTACACACCACCACTTCCCCCCCTCCCGCCACCAAAAAGAAGTGTTTTTTTTTTTTTTTTTTTCCATCTGCCTTCTAGGGAGGTGTATGTCAACTCTTCTCAACACTCCTAAAATCGCATGTAAAAGGAAAAGCTTAGGGGTCCAAAGCAGAAAGCTGGGTCTCCAGGGGAAATAATTTTCTTCTAACTATAGGTGTGTGTACCTGCTCATTATCGGCGAGGCTTAATTCCATCCTGGAAAAGGTGATAAATTGTTGGTCTTTGGGGGGTGCCTTAACTCATTCAAGCCTTGAGGGGATCGCGTAGAGCTCTGGGTGAGGTCATCCACGAAACGGTCCCTGGTGGGCCACACACTAATTAGCGCACGGCGGCCAAGTGAACAGTTAACTCACCCGCCTCGCACAGAGAGCTCCACCCGTTGTTTCTTTGCCTCTGTGGAACCGAGATACCTTAGTTGTCTGCTCTTTTTAACATGCCCCCCACTAGAGACCGGTGATGGGACTAACTGACATTTTTGCTGCTTTTGTGTGCGACTTCACTTCCCCTACCTCATCTCTGTCCCCCTCGCCTTCACTAGCCTTTCCCGGTGTTCTTGCATGCACGTGGACATGTCTTCTGCATTTGCTCACCACTCCCGGATTCAGATTCTCCCTGGTCAGCGAACCCAGAACCAACCCACATCCCAGCTAAATCCCGATCCATGCGTCTTCGGAGGGGCGGGGGGATGGGCAGGGAGCAAGCACACCTGAAGAATCGTAAAAGTGCTCAGATGAGATTTGACAGGGTCCAATGTGGTCTGAGGTTTAGGCCGTGAGGAAGTGTTTTGGCAAATGGGGCCAGAGGCACAAGTGAGGTTTACAGCTGCTTTGAGCCTGAGTGGGGGTGGGGTGGGGGGGGTGTCTGCTGATTAAAACACCGAGTAAAAGGCCTGTCTGATTTCATTAGAGAAGCACTGTTCGCATGTTCTTAGGAGGAGCTCGCCCTTTTCCGTGTGATCCAATGGGAGCAAGGTGCCACAGCGTAGAACCACTCTGTGGCAGGCATGGGAGGAGAGAATCTCCCAGCTGGGACATGGTTCCTTAAGGTAAAGGAACAAAGCTAGCTTAATGGGAGAGGAAACCGAAAGGCAAACGATGGGGAGTTTGCCTGCAACGTCACCATTTATAGAGCAGCGCTTCAACCCACCTGTCCACAAAGTCACTCTTTGGCGACGGAAGCATGGACGTGACAAAATGGGGACCCTCTCATTGTAGTGCCCCAGACTAAACTTCCCATATATAGTCAACGTGATCTTTTATTAAGACCATGCCTGGATTCCAAAGATTAAATAAGGAAGATGGATTATGAAATAATAACCAGAACAGCTTGGGCTCCCCTTGTGTTTTTCACTTTCCTGCTATTGTTTCGAATATGGCTGTGAGACAAAGAGCTGCTTAGGTCAAGCACAATAAATTAGAGTTTTCATACAATAGTAATCCACTAAAATGATTTCAAAGCTGGATCAAAGTACTTCCAAAAGACTTTTAAAACTTTTCCACAATACAGGGGGAGGGGGGAATGCTCATTTGATGCCTTAATTCATTTCCGTGTGTATAACAGAGTTAGATCTTGGCGTCATATCTCCTTTCTATAAAATCCAACTCATTAGTTAAATAAATCCAACTTGTTCTTATTTTTATGTGTAAGGGGATTTAAGTTTTCATCTAGTTAAAGTGGAACCACGAAACACTTGGAGTCACTTATAAGGAAAAGATACTGATAGTACCTTTTTAAAACAGGCATGACACAATATTTAATTGTGGTACTGAAGGTATTTAAGACTAACCCCCTGTGCTTAGAATAAAGTGTGTATCTGTAGATTTATTTTGCATCTTAATCATGGCAACCGATGCATTTAGTTTTTCATTCCTTTTCCCTCCTCACTTGGATTTATCTAGAGCTGTCTCCCATCAAAGGCAAGGATGATGGGAAGTACCCTAGTGATAGCAAAGCTAAGCAAATTCTAGGCCCAACCATATATAAAACAGTGTGGGACTGCTGCAGCAATGTCAGGCTCAGCTAAAGACCCGCGGTGTGTCAACGTAATTTTTATTTTTTAAAGGGAAGGTCATTTTGAAATGCCGACGTGAAATATAACCAAGTCAATTAAGTAATAACAATTGAAGTTCAGAGTTTAATTGAGAGCCGAACATGAAGCCAATGACCATTAACCTAAAGTGGTCATGAATTCCCCCTGCAAACTGCCCTGGTTAAAGGTATTTCTAGAATAACTAGCACTTTTTTCTTTAAAAAAAAAAAATGCCTTTGCCATTTTTATGTTCAACACAGATACATTCAGAAATAATTTAGTGTGTCTATAGTAGACTTTCAGCATTTTAAAATTTTAATTGAAATTTCTTATATAGCGCAAATCAAAATTTATGTAATCAAAACCACCTCTGCTGGAAACCATAGTTTCGTAAGTAAACTGATAGATAGAAGCACCCTGGTCTCCATTGTTCACTTCTCTCTTTCTGTAGTTATTTTGGGGCAAAATTGCTGACCTAGATTATAAGCTCCACAGAGTATTTGTTTTGTTGGCTGCCTAGCCCCCAACAGCCAAGGGAGTTCCTGACACAGAGCAGGTGCTCAGTGCATGTTGAAGGAACGAAGGAATGACTAGAAACTTATACTAAATATGTTCTCATTCATTCGCATTAAGAAAAATCGGAACTTTTTAAGTTTTAATTGTTTCTCATTTCCTTCAGCTGAAAACTGAGTGTATTGCCTGGAATCAGAAAAGCATCCTATATGTTGGTAATAATTAAAGAATTACTTTAGAACCCCTCAATCTCAAAGCAGGTTCATCAGAGTATCTTAGGATGCATACTTAGTTTGAAGGGGAAATCATGTGATCTCATTGTGTTTACCTTCACGTTAGCCCTAATGCATTGTTTATCCAATATATTTCTAAAGAAACTAGAACATTTAAAAAAATCTTTGCTTCTCTTTTAAAAAAATGAGGCTTAAGGCATTTTCTTGACACTTCTATGTGAGAAACGGTCTCTTCTAAAATCAAGTCAAGGCCTCAAATCAAATGTGTTTTGAACACCAATTTTGGGATATTCAGTGGAATTCTCAGATTAACTGCAAATGGTACCTTGAATTGCTCACTTTTTTTAATGCTGAGTTGATGGCAAAGTGCTTCCTGGCCATGGAAGTGGCTGGCTGGATCAGGAGAGAAGGCTTCTTTGGTCATTTGCCAACAGGATCTGACTTCGGAGAGACACTGTCCATGAACTGCTCAGTGGGCGTTTCCCTGTTAGTCATTAAATCAAAACACTATCATTTGAAAGTCCTAGGCATTTGGCCTATTTCCTCATATTTTGGAAACTTGTAACACCAAAGGAACTGGAACTTCCCTGTCTCTTCTTTGCCAGTTTCCCAGGATTTAATTTGTTGGGACCATTTGGTCCATGATCCCTTCCATGAGTATCTGGAGAGAACAGACACCCGGTTCTCTCTGAGATAGTCCTGAGACCGAGTCCTCTCAGGTTCTATGTGATATTTTGGTCTTCTGTTTCTAGCGTT